TACGCCGGTGGGCTGCTGAACCTCAGCAGAGGAAAAATTTCAGACAGCTGCCAAACTCAAATTCAAAATCGTAACTCAGGGTGCAAGTAACTGATGGTGCTCAAGACAAAAGCTCAGATTCCTATTCCTACTTAAGGTCAGTTTGAGATATTGTCTTCATTTTTTTAATTCCTCAGCCCTTGCTCTCCAGCTGTAGAAGGGCAATTTAGAAGAAGTTATTTTTGGGTATCACGTATGTAGAGGAGGGAAGGCAGATAAACCTGCATGTTCTACTAAAGATTGCATGTGATTTACCTAGCAGCCCTCTTTCCTTGCAGCAATAAATCAGTGATAATGCTGACAGCCAGAAGAATACAGCTATTTTATTTTTCTGTCCAGTCTGTTAGTAACACCTGGTATCCAAAATGCTTGAGGTGAGAGGACATTTCTTAGAAAATCCAGTGTTCCCTCTTTTGAAAGTAAGTGGTATCTTTCTTCCTCTACCCTGAGAGGAGGGGATGTCATAAAGCAGATTTGAGGAGGGGAGGGGAGCAGAGAGAAGAGGAAAAGGAGAAGAAAAGGAGAAAAAAAGGGAGTCAGGGGAGTGGCGTCAGAAACACAGGCAGCGAAAGATCTGGCCCTTTATATACCCAGAGGAATGCAGAGACATGCATGCATTTTAATGGCACTATTTGTTATGTGTGGGTCCCTACTTCACAAATCTTTTGCAAAGCAATGCTTAATAGATGGAAAGCTACCTCTTAAAAGCATCTTGTATGCCAGTAGAAGCTTTCAGAAAAATGTGCATTGAAAATATTAATAAATGTATAGCTGTTGGATTCTAATCATTTTCGCTTCAACTCACTGACTGATGAGGCTTACATTCAATAGTTTCCTCCCCAGGGAGTGATGGTTACCAAAAAGCCTTATTAGCACTTGACAGGGTCATTTAAATATCATGCATTCTTTGGTGCCTAATTATGAATATTGACAAAGCTGGAAGCAGTCTACACGCGATCAAAACAATGGCGGCAGAGGTGACCGCATGGTTGTTTACCATTACCATCCACTTGTGTGTTGTTACTCCTTGCCTTGCCCAGTCAGAGCCAGCTGGCTCCAAAATTACTATTTTTTTGTTGTTTTAAAAGGGCAACGGAGAGAGTTCTTACACAAAATTAAATCAGAAAATGTTATGCATACTACCCTTTTATGAATATTTTGTTTTCACTTTTGCTGTGATTTCTTTTATTTTCACACATTCACAAAGAACAAGATACTTTTTTTCTTTACATTTTCTCTTTGTTTCACAAGGTACTTTGTGTTGTTCTTCTTTGGTTGTGTCTAATCCTTTGGACAGTGTTTTCTTTCTTTTGCTGTGCTCACAGATTCTTACTGATTGTACTAATTGTACAGAATCCACTTGCTGCTTTCTTTTCTGTAGCACGGGTGCTTTGATGATGTCACATCCATCCATATGCTTCACTTTTAATTCAGTGCAGGCATCTTGGGGAATATCTGTGGGGGCGTGAAGAGGGGGTTCTTTAAAAGGGTTGACTCATGGGAATGTGACATTTGTGTGCCACAGCTTTAGTAGCTAAATATACTCTGGGATTGTTGTTTCTGAGCTACATCACATTTCTTGCCAAGATGAAAATGTGTAGTGCAACCCATAGAGTGGGAACTATGCGTTGCCATCCCACTGGCATTTTCATTTTGGCCATTAAGGAATCTGCCCTTATATTGCAGAACAACAACAACAAAAAAAATTGGCTCTGATTGGGCAAACTGCACCCCTCTTTCTTATTCTCTTCCAACTCCTCCCCAGAAAAAAAATAAAAGTAAAAAAAGGAAGAGAAAAAAAACCCATGTTCTAGAGTATGTTTACGTTTTGTTTCCTTTCTTGCTGTGTTTTAGTGTTAATTTAATTGTGTGTTTCTCACCTTTGTTGAAACAGTTTCCCTAACCTTGCCATCTAACCTTCCCCCCTGCTGCCATTGTACTTGGTCTCCCTCCCTCCACAGTCACGACGCTTCTCCTGTGGAGCGCTCCAAGGCTTTACCCTCTACACCTCAGTAGTGCCTTAGTGCTGTGTCTCTCTGTAGTCATCCTACTAACAAAGGGGGGAGTAGACACATACCACTCGTCCAGAGGCCTGCGTGAAGAAAACAAAGTGATTTTCTTCAGAAGTAGCTGGCCTTGCCCCTCATTACCCTGCTGCCCTTCTCTGCTGCCTCCTGTCCTTCCAGCCTCCCTTGAGAAATGCCTCATGCTTTTCAAGTCCTAGGTTCATTAGCACAAATGCAACTTACTGTTCAGTTCTCTCACTTGCTCCCTGAATGCCCAGAGCCCGCCTTTTAATCATGGTTTTGATAAATTGGTTGTAAATCCAGCTTACGATTTTGTGGTTCTGCCAGAGCTTCTTCTCTAGAGCATTCAGGTGGATGTGGCTGAGCTGGGCACTGAATGACTGTGGTGTAGCATTGCTGTTAGCAGGCTTAATGTTTATATTCTTACTTGTCTCAATACTCATTAAGTGAAGATTATGAGGTGGTATCTCTGTTCCTTAACAACCCTTTTGGCAGTATCTGTGTAACAAAATTATAAAGCTGATTAGAAGCTGGATGTGATGGATACAGTTTACAGAGTTGAGTTGCTCATGTATTTGGATGTCAAGAATGCTCCTGTAGATACGGTGTCTGATAGTACCTATTATCTTATAGATTGTAGAATCTATATTATTATTAGTAGTAATAATTGCAGCCCTACAATATAGAATGAGATAGATATAATTAGTAATATTCAACTTCTCAACTTAGGGAGTGCTGTCATGTGATGGATACAGTTTACAGAGTTAAGTTGCTCATGTATTTGGATGTCAAGAATGCTCCTGTAGATACGGTGTCTGATAGTACCTATTATCTTATAGATTGTAGAATCTATATTATTACTATTAGTAATAATTGC